TTATTTTCTTACCAGCTCGAAGGGAACACCAGATAGGGCCAGGGCTGTGTATCTTCCGTTCAAACAAGCATCTTTATGTCCAGGTGATTGATGACACTAAGATGCACACACTTGCTTCAGCTTCAACAATGCAGAAGCTATATCTGAGGAGTTCAACTACAGTTCTGGGCCCACCATTGTAAGATCTCAATTTAGATGTTTTAATGGAATTGATCAATTTGATATATTTTCTAGAATTTCAAGTGCATAGTGACTGGATCATTTTAAGATTGACCTAATCCATGGCTCATAGATCTTTTTATAATCGAGAATTTAGGTTGATCCAATGAAATTCAGAGTCAATGTGTTCTAATACTTGTAGGACGTATTGACATTATTACATTTTGTAATCTGTTTCCTTTTCTTGTTCTATCATAAGCGTACATTTTTAATTACATTCAAAAAAAGAAATTAAGCATACATTTTTAAGCATGCATACTTCTGGCATCAGGAGGTGGCAACGAGAATTGGTGAAGCCATTGCAAAATCCTGTTTGGAGAAGGGGATAACAAAAGTGGCCTTTGACCGTGGTGGTTATCCATACCATGGACGTGTGGAAGCTCTTGCTGCTGCAGCTCGTGAAAATGGCCTTCAATTCTAGGATTTGCATAGTTAGCTTTTCTGTCTGAATTTTTTTTTTTTACTTTTTTCTTGTCTCAGAACTTTGCCAGGGAAAATGTGTTATTCTGTCAACATGATATGCTGCCATTCCTTTTATTATTCCAAACATCTATGGAAAGTTTTCTGGTCATCTTGGTCAATTCAACTTGTTTGAACCTTAGGAAAAACATATTCATACTTTATAGCTCCCTGATCTGACATTGACCATGAGAGTGCACTTGATATATGTTTATTGTTGAATCGGCAGCAGATATATACCCCCAAACCTTTCAAGACAGAATAGTGAAATTTTCTTCGTATGATTATGATTAGTTTATTGCTTGCTAGAGAAGTCCTGGAATGTGTATGATGGCTAGGCAGAATTAGAATGTTGAAAATGAGATAATCCCGAGCTAATTATAAAGGAAGGAAAAAAGAAGTTGCAGTGGTTTTGTCGGCAGGATGAAGGTTCTTGATGGAAGGCAGTCAGCCAATGGTGGAACTACAGAAAATTTGGACATCAATTGATAGGCTAGCAACAAACACATGGGAAGTGGTCCTTTACATTTATTTAGACTTACAAATGATTCCAGGACTATTTGTATACTTGGTTACTTCATTCATAAAGGAGTAAGCCGTTATTAACGCGAGCGTGCGTGCACATCCTTGCAAATTAAGGTGGCCAGTGGTAAAGGAATTCCCAAAATCCGGTTTCTCCATTTAAGGCATAGATGCCCTCAATGGATATCAACCATGAGCAGAGGGTCTTACACCGGATGAAGTCCCTGTGGAAGGAATATGCATCAAAGTGGTACCTGTCAACATTTTCCCATTCAATATCACAATAAAACAGTGTGGTTCCCGCTGCATTGACGGAGAATTTCCACCCAAATTCACCTCCATCCACGATGTTCTGCTCCCCAAGATCGTCGTCCTTAGATTGGCAATGAAGGGTAATGTTTCTTCCCCTGCGCAATCTGTTATTGATACTTGCACGGACACTTTCTGAGTTCACCGGGTTGAATAAACTGAGAAGCAACAGAAACAGGACAGTAACATTGTAATTCATGGCTTTTTGTTGTTGTTGTTGTAAATCTAGATAGATTGTTATCAACGCAAATGTCTATGGGTAGGGGAAGGGCAGGCAGGTTAAACATGGAGAGATTTTGATGAGTTGATAACTTTGTAAAACATGTATAAATTTTTAAGGGGGAAGTTGGCAATACAGATAGGACAATAGGCCTTGAAATCTCAGAAGATATTTCCTCGACTCTCTCGTTATCCAATGGGGAGGCAAATTAGGCACCAAAATGTTGGAATAAAAACTAGTATCTTGTTTGATGTATTAAAAATATTATAATGGAATATTTCTGGTATGTAATATCATTCTGCTTTGGGTGATTCATCATCCTATATAGAAACACAATTTCTTTTCTTAAATTTTTATTTGAGATTTAAATGTATTAGTCATAAATATATAATACAAAAAGATAACTCGTATGTGATAGTTAGTAACTCTGGATTGATAATCACAGAGGCATAGATAGAAAGATGAGTCATTTGTTGTAAATATAATTAAGAAAAAAAAAAAAAGATACAAATTGAGATTTCTTTAGAAAAATGTATTTCAAACCATAATACATACTAAGTACCGCTCAAACTTTTTTCTGTTAATAATAAGAATCCAACTTGGAACTACGCGTGCACGCTCTCCTTACATTTTGGCCGTCTTCTCCCCAACCCAATTGCTGCCAACTTATAACATGTGTGTGTGTGTGTGTGTGTGTATATATATATGTATCTGATTTGGTAAGAATGTAGATAATGAACAAGACTAAATAATTTGGACAGCAAAAATTCCCAACCTAATAGCTGCTAGGAGGAGGAGCGGCGGCATACTGTCTGTCCACGACCTCAATGAGTTTGTTGGCTATGGCACTAGCATAAACTGAAGAACCTTCGTATATCTGCAAAGTTACATTCAACAGTTAATATGCATATATATATATATATACCTTGTTGTTCGTGAGGGGGAAGCTATAACATAATATATATACCTTGGTGTTGAAGAGGAAGCTGTAGTGTTCGCCAATGTGACCACCAGCAACGTGATGGAGATCCAACTGAAACTCGTCAAGAACCTTGGACACAAATAGCAAGCAATTGATCTTCTTTTTCTGGACAAGTTTGATAGTAACTTCATCGTCAATTATGCGAACATCAACCTCAGTAACCTTAGACTTTCTCTGCAGCCAAGAACTTCTCAATGAACTACTGTAAGATTGGCCCGAATGGGGTTCTCCAAGAGGCTTCGCGTTGGGACTTTCCATGTCCCCTACACCATCATCTTCCGTCTTTTGCCTCTTGTTCCTCTCTCTGCCACATCTCTTTTTCTCCACTAGCAATTTTAGCTCGCTAACTGTTCTAAGAAGTTCTTTAATGTAATCGATGGCATCTCCCACCACAGATGCTCTATCAGTCTTTGGTTTGTATGTTTTATTAATGATTAGTGCAAGCAGCAGATTAAGAATAAATGTATGTACAAGCAAAATTAACGACAAGAAGAGAAAACACTGGTGCGTACCTTGGTGGGGTTGGGAACCAAACTCCTTAAGGCCTTGTACTTATCGTTCAAGTTTTGTCTCCTTTCTTTCTCAGTGGGGAAGTGCTTTGCAGTACTCTTGCCTACTTCTCTCCCTTTTCCGAGACAAGCCATGTCCCTAGTGAACTCCAGGATTCCGTTATCAAATGAAGCCCCATCACCTTCATGGTACATATCTCTCTGGTCGTCGGCTCCTCCAAATAAAGAGCGACCTGGCAGGCTGTAGCCACTAGGTAGGGACTGAAACAATTCCCTGAACAAGGGAGGCTGTGGAGGCAGGTTCAGATGGAACAAGGGGTCATAGAGAACAGAAGACCCGGATGCGCTGTCCGTAGATGGAAGTTCTCCAATGTAGCCGAAACTGGGCTTTGGGTTGTGGTTAGCAAAGGAGATGGACGAATTAGCCGGGAGCAAAGAGGAGGCCGAGCATCTAGGCAGGTGAAGCAGATTTAGGAGGTCTGGAGTTGGAGGGTAGTGAGTTTCTTGTAAGGAAGAAGCCGGAATCATATTGAAGTCTTGGCGACCCGGCCCCTTTTGCAGCTCAATCTGCTGGTCCGGATGCTGGTGGAGGATATTTCGATTGGGGTTGGGATCGGCGAATGCCACATCTTGCATTTCATGGAAACCGGGGTCCCAACTGGATGAACCATAAGATAGAACTTGATTGGAGACATCACGAATCATCTGGTGCATTAAGTGGGCATTGTCCTGAATTTGATCATCAGCGGCGTTCAAGGCGAGCTGGTGCTGGAGTTGAATTTCCAAGGAAGTAGGAGAGGCATCCAGCTGCGGAGGGTGGTAAGTGAGGGCTTCCGTGGGGGGCCTCAGATTCTGATCTTGATAGGTGTTTTGGTTGTTAGTGAAGGCGTCTGCGGCCATTACTGGTTGGGGCAGTGTCTGAGAGAAAGCATCGTCGGCAGCTTGTGGAATGGAGTTGGGGGAAAAGCATCCTGCAGTGTCCTCGTACATTTCCGTTCTGATTAGATGCCGAGGTCTGTGGTGTTGGTGTGATTCAGTTAAGAAATGATCTTCATATTCAACTTTTTTTGATTTTTTGTTTTCCTCGTGCTTCATAGGTGGGAGGTGAAAGGTTGTTACTGAGATTCCCGTCACTGGGCCCCACCCACAATCTCCGTATTCTGATACTGTCTGCGTGCTTTTTTCACTTTTCTTCGCCCCCCAGCTGCTGGCTGGTGAGGTAAATTTGGAATTTTAATTTTTATAAAATATTATTTTAGAAAATATAGAATTATTTAATTATAAATCCTGTTATTATAAGCTTTAAAATAAAATAAAATAAATACAGCAGCACTCACGCATTCTGTGGCTAGTTCGGGCAGGAGGTCTAATCCAAAGGGCGTGTTTGTTAATTTCATTACATTTTGTGTGGGCCCCCCCTCTCTCCCCCTGGTCAGCACGCAAACTGCTTCCCCCAACTAACTCAGTACGCAACCGTGTAGAAACCGTTTGGCCCTCTCAGCCCCCAACAACAAACCAATTTTTCGTTCCTCTCTTTCCCACACCATTCATTCCACTAACCAAACACAACAATTATCCTACTTCACATTTCTTTTTTATATTAATTTAATATTGTTAATAATTTACATTTGTCCTAAAAATAACCAAGTTTTTTTATTTATATATCTTTTTAATTACATAAAACATAATGCTTGTTAGATTTCCCAAAATTATAAAATAAACACTTTATTAGTTTTTATGTTTTTATCTAATGATATTATTTTACTAAAATTAACATTAAAATAATAATTACAATAACCCACATATAATAACAATAATACATAAAAAATTAAAAATAAAATATCAATTACAAGCAAAAAAAAAAAAAAAAAGTTTGTAACTAGTTCGTAACTAAGTCCAATAGGGGGCCAATATATAACATTCGTAAAAGAGAATTTTAAATTTCGTGAGATATTCAATAAAATTTCACGTTAATCTCTCTTTATCTCTTGAATTTTCTTTGTTTCTTATTTCTTGAAGCACAACATGGTATCAGAGCTTAGTTTTTACTAATTCATCGTTAATCTTTTATCTATCTACCTTTTATTTTAAAAATCTCAAACTTTAAAGTCATGAATATCAAAATTTTTATTTTTACATCATAGCCCATAAGACTCATTCATTAATGATCCATGAGCCTGTACTTACTTACGTCATTCTAATAGTTCAGGTTTGATATCAGTTTCTCAATAATTGATAGTTGATAATTATACTCAATAGATTTACATGTTGCTTATCGCACTACTAGTAATGAATAAATTAGTGTTTATGAATGATGTTATTCCAAAACTTAGTGGGGATTATTGGAATATGTTGAATAAATGGATAAGAAACAACAATATGATGATCTCATGGATTCTTAACTCCATCTTGAAGGAGATGCCAATGAGTACAATTTTCTTTATTCAGATGCTGATATTTGGATCAAACTTTAAAAATTAATTTCAACATAACAACGACCCTCGAATTTATTAGTCCAAGAGGAAACTCATTAATCTTGTTTAAGGCCAAAACATTATAAGTATTTATTTTACCAAATTAAATGCTCAATGGGAAGAATTGAACAATTTTAAGTCTGTATGTACTTTTAACAAGTTGAATAAATACACAAATGGAATATATCATGACCTTTTTAATAGAATTGAATGAGTCTTATGCATAAGTTAGGGATCAAATTTTACTTTTATATCCTTTATTGTCCATAAGCATAAAACTTAATGAGCCAAATGTTGCATTTGTATAAAAGGTTGAGAATGTTGAGAAATTTATAAGTGATAAAGTTAATAGAAGTCAAAGGAAAAATCGACCTTTTTATACTCATTGTAATTTTTACAGACACACCCTAGATAAATTTTGCAAATTGCATGATTATCCCTAACCTATAAGTCAAGATAAATGGTACAAAATGTTACTTCTATAGATTAAGTTGATGCTTCTATTCAAGTTTTCCTTATAAGTGAATAAACCAAAAAACTCAAAAAGGAATTTTATTCTAAATCTAAACACAATCCAATATCAGTAACTGGTGTCTTTATTTTTTAGTCATTTAGTTTCATCTACTAAAATCAATATGGAATTTAAGGATGCATCAATTCCCTATATAGTTATCTATATTTTATGATATCATTGTAGTCAAATTTTAATTTAATGGATAAATAGATAATGTATTCTAGAGCTTCTAAGCACTTATGTTTATATAAATATCTTGATAAATCTTAAGCTAATATGTAATTTTATGTGATATTGTTTGATAATAAAATAGTACCTACTCATTTGTGTGGTGATACCATTTTTAATTTATATAGTTGTGGATATTTTGTTTGTCCCAAATTTTAAATACAATGATATCATATTTGCACTTACTAAGGAGTCTTGTTTAAACATCATTTCATCTAGTGAATTTGAAATTCGTGACACCAATCATGTCATTAAGTTGAGGACTTATATGTTTTTAGTTTGAATTTGGTGAAAAATAAAAGTATTGCTTTAATGTATAATATGTCTTCTTATATTTAGCATATAAGACTTGGACATCCTTCTAAAAAATCTTTTGAATTGTGGAAATCTCAACTCCAGTTAGATAATAGTATAAATAATTACGACTCTTGTTATATTTATTATATGACCAAATAAAAATGACTACTTTTTATGTATATAATTATTTGGCCAAAAAATAATTTGATTTAGTTTATTATGATGTGTAAAGGTTTTATAATATAAAAGCTCATACTGGTAAATTCCTTTTTATGTATATATACATTTTATTTTGGAGTTTTCTATTTAGGCATAAGTTTAATATAATATGGGTTATCTTGTATTTTTTAATATGATAAAAATTTAATTTAGTTATAAAATAAAATATCTACACACTAGTAACACAAAAGAGCTATCATTTATTAATCAATCGAATAATAAATAACTACTTTTATCAATTTTTCTGTATTGGTAGTCCTTAACATATTTATGGTATTGAGAGAAAATGCCATTTTTTACACTAAAGTTCGTATTTTATTATGGAATGAATGTGTTCTTATTATAACTTATTTGATTAATTATATTTCCTCGTCTTTCTTGAAGAATAAGTCACCATATGAACTTTTGCATAATATTTCAATTGATTACATTCACTTAAGGTTTTTGGATGCCTAGCTTTGTAGTATTACTAAATGAGCATCGCATTAAGTTTGAACCGCAGGCTTTGTAATAAACATATTTTGTTTCTCGAGATCTTATATTTCATGAAAATATTTTTCATTTCATAATCAAGAATCTATAAATATTTAGTTATAAGATTCTTTAAGTTATAATGTTCATTTCATTGGTTATATCGTACCGACTTAATTATTTTATTGTTTGTGACTAATCTCTTTAATTTGCTTGGTTCATAGAAAAAAAAAATGATTCTCTACTAAAATTTTGTTCATACGAAACTATTCAGAATAAATTTTAAAATAAAAATTTTTTATTCAGAATAATATATTAAATCATTATATAAATTTCTAATAATAAATAAATAAATTTATTTTTTTAATTACCTATTATAAGAGGATCGATCGTCATCTTTTAACTCTCTAGAATTAAAAAATTTGTGATTGTGATATTTATTTCTTCATGTGGCCACCGGAAATGATCTTTTAAAAAGCTCAAACTCTCAAAAAAAAAAAATACCAACAAATTTTAAAAATGATTTTAAACGAGCTTATAAGATGTATTGCTTATTTTGTAAAAAAAATATAAAACATTATTAAGGGGGTATTCGGAAAACTATTTACTCCAAAAATATTCCAATAAATAAAACAAAAATACTAAATTATATCTTTAACAAATTATAACTTCTAATTTATATTCATCATAAATCATAATACCTTATTGTATTTTTCTGTATGCTTTTTAATTTTTTCACTGTAAACCAAATAACCATTGAGGCACCTGGTATTACTTTTTTTTCATAATTTTAATGATTTTATTATTAATAAAAAATCACTTCATCTAAGCATGATACACGTCCGCCAAGAGTTTCTTCTACATAATTTTAAAAAGACTAATTTCGTTATGTGCTCCTTAAGGAAGAAAGACACACCTGTTTCTGTTGGTGTTGGTGTGTGGGGGAGTGAGAAAACGAAAAACACTCGGAACACCTGGCGCAGTTGGGATTAACAACTGCAGCGAGCAAAAAGACGTCAAGTGATTTTTGATGATCCGTCCAATTTCCGTAGTTTGTATTGTTTGAATATTATATTGGTTGGGTTGTGAGATCAAGCAAAAGTACGAGTATGGCGGAATTTTTGGACCTGGAAGCGCAGGACGGTGTGAGGATGGCGTGGAACGTCCTACCGGGAACAAAGCAGGAGGCCATCAACTGTGTCGTGCCGGTTTCGGCCATCTACACTCCGATCAAGCCCTTCCCTAACATGCCTCCGCCTCTCCCTTACGCCCCTCTCCGCTGCCGCACCTGCCGCTCAGTCCTTAATCCCTTCTGCATCGTAGACTTCGCCGCCAAGATTTGGATCTGCCCTTTCTGCTTTCAGCGTAACCACTTTCCTCCCCATTACGCCTCCATCACCGACGACAATCTCCCTGCCGAGCTTTTCCCTCAATATACCACCATCGAGTACCATTGTGATTCCCCTGGGGAAAGGTCCTCCTTGCCCCCTGTTTTCATTTTCGTGGTCGACACCTGCATCATCGAGGAGGAGTTATCTTTTCTTAAATCCTCCCTTTCTCAGGCAATCGGCCTATTGCCAGACAACTCCCTGATAGGTCTTGTCACCTTCGGAACCCTTGTCCACGTCCACGAGCTTGGCTTCGGCCAGATCCCTAAGGCCTACGTTTTTAAGGGCTCCAAGGACATCTCCAAGGAACAGCTTCTCGAGCAGATGAGCTTCTTCCTCAAGAAGCCGAAGCCTGCGACTGGTGTTATCGCCGGCGCCCGGGACGGCCTCTCCTCAGAGAGCATTGCTCGCTTCCTCCTGCCTGCTTCGGAGTGCGAGTTCGTTCTTAGCTCGGTATGCAATTGTTGCGTATTAGCACACGCTTTTGTACCCTTTCCTTCCATTTTCTTGTTAATTGGGAAAAAATACAAATTAATATGCTTAGGTTTTGGAGGAACTGCAAAAAGACCCTTGGCCGGTTCCAGCCGATCAACGAGCCACCAGGTGCACCAGCGTCGCATTGAGTGTAGCTGCGAGTTTGTTAGGAGCTTGTGTTCCTGGTTCTGGTGCTAGAATCATTGCATTTATAGGCGGTCCATCCACAGAAGGGCCTGGAGCTGTAAGGATTCCTGCGTTTCCTTTATTGTCATCATCACATGCTCAAGCATATGCTTCAGATATAGTGCTGAATTCCTCCCCTTCTATTTTTCTTGGCGTTCATTTCTAGATTGTCTCAAAGAATCTGTCTGAACCCATTCGCTCTCACAAGGATCTTGATAAAGATTCTGCTCCCCATTATCATAAAGCCGTTAAATTCTACGAGGGACTTGCAAAGCAGCTTGTTCATCAGGGTCACGTGCTTGATCTCTTTGCTTGTGCCCTTGATCAGGTAATATTCTCCTCCACCAATCAATCTTTTTACTAGCAAAATCACTTTCTAACTCTCCACATATTGTAGCTCGATGCCTACACCATTGAAATAGTGCATACTA